TATATCCTTGCGATAAAAAATTCGTCCTTGACATGAAAAAATGTATCCTTGACTAGAAAAAATATATTTAGTTGATCAGAAAAAAACTTCGTTCCTGTTTCGTCCATAATCCAGATATTACGTATGTGCAGCGAATTCGTACCTAATAGTGATTTCAGCCAACACCATAAAAACTCGTCAACTTTTGGCTAATTGGTGTTGACTGAAATCAACTTTCGGCAAGGCAAGAGTCAATAACTCGATAAGGGGTCATAAATACGCATAACTAGAAACTGAACCTGCTGCCTTGTGGCAGCAAATCAAAAAATCATGCAATATGAAGTGCAGTTTGTAATTCAAAAAGCTAGTCATAGTTTTGAAAAGGTCATTGAGACAAATCTAATGATGTATAACACAAGACTTCACCATGGGCGCTTTGCCCCGTGACACGCGTGGGCCCGTTGCCCCACTAGGTATCGTTTCAATTTATATCGTGTCAACATTTTATTTTAAAAGCTAATAGTCTAAACTTGATCTCAAAATTATCCCTATAAATTTTTCTTTTAAAATATAATTCACAGTAATTTCAAAAGCTTCATCCACAGTAATCGAAAACAGTTTTTATTTAGCAGCAAAAAAAATTGTATCTGGGCAAAAACAGTTATTCACAAATAACTTAATAACGCAAATACTTGGCAAAACGTAAATCCGTACACTTCATCCCAGTCACACTGTCGATCGGCGGCAGAGAACACGGACCAATATCTGCCATACTTAGCGAGAAACCCGCATGGGCCCATGACCCGCAGTGGGCTCGCTGCCCCATGTTACCCTACTGTTCATATTGAATTTTATTTAGCAATACGCCAACCTAACTTTACCATCGATAAAACTGTTACTGGAGGAAGAGGACTTCGCTCGTCCCTGAGAATAGCGATCAGCTGCCTAATAGCTCAGTAAGCCTGATATGAAAGACGAAGTGTTTTACTGTAACTTGACTGGCTAAGCCATACGAAATGCGTTATTCCTTGTAGGAGTGCACATAACACCTTTCAGATTGATAACAATATTTACCATCAGCGGAGAAATAGTTTGTCTGCAGAACTTACTTGTTTGGCAGTCCGGGGTGGAGTGGTCGGAGTGGTACTGGGGGAGCCCTGACCGGAGGATTCGTCCATCTCTGAGCCGTGAGGACTGGATGGTGTTGATAACGACGCTCGATGAGACGCGGCTCCTGAAACGGTGCTTTAAGTAGGTAAATCCTATATTATACCCAAATAAATTGCAAGTAATAATCGTAATAATCTATGTTTTGTAAAGTGACCGCTCGGAATAATGCTGTCTGACATCCATGTGTATTTATTCAGGGTTTACCTATTATAAATTGTCAGGTTTCCGTGAACACTCACCGTTTAATTATAATAGGTGGTTGTACTTCAAATTAAATTCGATTTGTTGAAATTATATCAACTATTATGAATGCATACCTATCACATTCCTGGAACAATTTTTATATTTTCAACATTCCTGAAACAAGATTCTGATTGTATATTTAAAACACATTAATCATCTTTCATTTGCATGTGTAATTCTGATATCCATGCTTCAGTGAGACATTTAACACAGATTGAATTTATTTCTATGTTTTTACTACATATGAAATATATGTTATTTTAGACCGTCAATTACTTATTTAGCGCAATCATGAGCAAATCGGCGCATAAACCACATTTTCTGCCTTAACATGAAAGAGAAAAGTTAGTTCGTATTAATGAGGTTCGTATCTGGCAGTTAGTTTCTCGCCTCGAACGACGAATATTTCTCAAGATTATTCTCTTTCATGATCATTTCGTAAATTTTGAATGTCAACGTCGATGAAAAACAGAGAGATGGCCGTGACATATTAGAAATTTAGTCTTGTGACACATCTCAGTTTTAACGAGAAAAAATTATCGTATCTCTTGTGCAGAATTTAACCAACCCCTAGAATCAAAATACCCGTTGCCAAAGATTCTATTTAATTACTCACCCAAACTTTTAAACATCGCAAGCAGGGAGTCGACAGAAGATATTTTTGTGATTTTGTTGGTAGCTTTTGTAGTTTGCAGAAGTCGCTTGGGAGGATCAGGAGTCATCTCTGAACTCGAGTACTCCGGCGACCCTCCGACATCCTCGCTGCCTGACCCACTCTGACGGCTGCCATCACGCACAAATTAAAATAAATAAGGCAATAAATAATCTTTGATGTATCTCTGTGGCCTAATAGTTCTACTTGCAGTGGCCTAACAGTTCTACTTGCAGTGGCCTAACAGTTCTACGAAAAATTCTACTTGCTGGAAGTTTATGGTCTCTTTAGTCGTGCTGCTTTTTAGCTTTAGAGAAGGTATGCATTGTACAAAAATATTTTCATCTCTTGCTATTGCCGCACATTATCATTCACAGATAGCAAGAAATGATAGATAAAATATCAATTCGAAAACAAAACACTTGCCATGAAGCGTGNAATTCTCAAATACATTGATCACAACATCCGCCTGGTTAATTACTCGTAGGTTTCCCTATTATTCGCACTCCCTTAGCTTATAGCGGTACCAATAGATCCCGCTATAGTCTCTTTAATCGTGCTGCTTTTTAGCTTTGGAAAAGGTGTGCACTGTACGAAAATATTTTCATCTCTTGCTATTGCCACACATTATCATTCACAGATAGCAAGAAGTGATAGATTAAATGTAAATTCGAGAACAAAGCACTTGCCATGAAGCGTGCGCGATGCGTGGCGAGCGACGAGGCGAACGCCTGGCAAGCGACGAAGGCGACGCTCCATACGAAGCGATGACGACTCCTCGTAGCGCTGCCGTCGCTGACACGTCTGAAGACGAGGAGCTTGTTGCCTCCTTCGTCAATTTATTAAAAAGTTTCGCAAATGTCACCTGTACATAAAGCAAGACGGCCTTATACATCTTGAGAGATTTCAATGCTTAGAGATGGTATAAATTCTCGCATTTTCCATACAAAAATTTGACATCGGGAAAAGTAGTTTATAAAAACGGACGTTAGTTCAGAAGCAGCAACTTGAATTTTTTCAATTCAAATTATGTATTTTACAAGCGAAAGCTTCACTGCCTTGGATAATCTTAAACGTTTATTTAATTACTTAATTTGTACGTTAAAATTATTTAGAGTAATTATAGCTACGATTGAACTCCAAACCTTCTTGGCATCATTCCTGAATGGACTGAGGGAACAGAGCGATGTCTCGCTTACACCTCGATGGCATTGCACTAACTCTGTCATGTCAGCACTTCTGGTGCGCGCCTGGTGATAGGAAATAGATCAACATATATATACGGTATATAACACAAGTAACACGTACAGTACAATACAGAATAGTCTTTAAGTATGATATTATTTGAAAGAAAATGTAACACGGTAAGAAGTTCTCATTTAATTTTTTTGAAATTTTGTATATAGATGAACAGAATATATAATTTTGAAGCGTTACCTTTATTTTCGGTTCTTCGTCGCCTTGATCGTGAAGTTGACTAAGATCTTCGCTTGCCTGCAACAAAATTTTGAGTTGAGAAAGCTCGCTCAAAAATACTAGCCGGTTATTATAACACAAGCCAAAAGTGGTCGTGTAAAAAATATTATTCAGATTCATCGAGATTTAGCTGTTTTAAAAGTTATCGTATGTACAAATTGTCATAAGTACTGATTCAGCGTTTGTGAATTGCTTTCGCTGTGAATTAATATTGGAAACAAATTCCACTGTTAGATAAATATCCAGGATATAATAAGCCAAAAATTACATTTAGGTTAAATTTTTAACGCGTAATTTTAGATCACATTCGTAATTTCATGTTCCGAATAGTTGTAATAAAATATTTAATAAATATAAAATGTTCCAAGCCTGGTAAGCAGTCACTCTAAAAAATACTATTAACAACCAAGAATATAAGCCCTTCACCACAGACTATCGCGATACTCTGGACTATAAGCCCCTCACCACACACCACCGTGATACTCTGGACTATAAGCCCCTCACCACGGAACACCACGATACCCTGGACTATAAGCCCCTCACCACGGAGCACAGTTATACTGTGGACTATAAGCCCCTCACCACGGAGCACCGTGAAACCCTGGAGCGCAGGAGCAGGAGTTCGTCGCAGCTAGGGGCCCTGTGCGCTTTCGGAGGCGAGATGAGTTGTCGCAGCAGCCGCCGCCTGTCGCTGCGGGGCGTCGCCGTCTGGGAACGAGTCTCAGGACACCCGCCTCCAGCAGCGCCTGCGTTAATATATAATAAATTTTTTTATTTTCAACTCGACCTGTACAAATATTCCCTAAATATTCCCCTAACGAATTGTGAGGTGATAAAAATCATGCTTGCATCTATACAGCAGTGAATGCTAAAAAACTCCTCAATAGTTCCTGAAATAATAAAAAATTATAAAATCCTTCATTATGCAAGAAAGCACTCAATGGAAGATTTAAAACGTTTGAAAGAATGACATTGATGAAAATTAAATCCTATTAATTAAGATGACATCATTTTCTAGAGTTTCTATGAACCCCAAAAAATAACTGTGAGTAATTAGGGAATTGGCTTGCATGCAAGGCACAGTTTAGGGACAGATTAGCACTAGAAAAGATGAATCAGGATAAAATTGTTCTAAATGAGGTATTTTGACTGAATTGAATATAATTTATAAACGTGCAAAAACTTATTGCTCGTGTGAAATTAAAGCCCTAGCGACGCATATAATAAAACCAAACATGCAAACAAACATCGATTTTCAAGAAAAACTCGAAATTGTGAAAAGATCATGCATATACATACTGAGAACTTGGCGTTGTTATCCTTACGCTTGAAAATCTCTGGAGTATCAATTTGAAGCTAAATAAACTTAAGATTTCAGTAATTATTTAGCACTAACCTCTACGTTGCTCACGATGCATAATAAAAAAGATTCAGCCTGAACAAAAGATTCGCCCTGAACCGATTACCTTCATTCCTTGAAAATATTTCAAATTAAAGCAGTGTAAATATAACAATAGCCGTTCAAACACATTCTTTCACGTAACACTAATTCAATGAAAGTCAGATGATACATTAAATTCAACCCCACCCTCAATTTTAATAATACGCGTTTAAAAAATACTTTTTAAAGACAACACTTCTAAAGAATCCAGTGTTTCCGACGTTACACATGCACAATGAATTTTTAATTTTATTATCAAAATAAGTAATTTTTAAATTTTATTTTTAAAATTGAAAAAAAAAAAAAATTTGCCAAACTATTTATTCTGTCAATTGAATCATGCATTTAATCCAACTTTACGCAAGTGTGCAAAATTTTAGAACGACTGGTAAGGTAGAAGTGTGTTAAATATCGATTATAAGTTATGCGGCAGACAAAATTATTTGTTCAAATTTTTTAAATTAAAAAATTTATTTTTTAAAATTATATATTTTCTGTCAATTGATTCATGCATTGTCTCGAACTTTATGCAAATGTGAAAAATTTCAGATCGATTAGAGAGGTAGAAGTGTGTTAAATATCGATTATAAGATTTGTAGCAGACAGAAAACAAAAAGTGAAGTTAAAGAGAAGTGTTGGAAAAATTGAATTTCATACCTAGTTATATGGATACGAAAAGTATTGTAGATACACGCCCGAACTTCCCCGATCTACTTCGAGTACTGAACAACTTAAGAACTTACAATATTTATTCTGTCAATTGAATCATGCATTTAATTCAACTTTACGCAAGTGTGCAAAATTTTAGAACGACTGGAAAGGAAGAAGTGTGTTAAATATCGATTATAAGTTATGCGGCGGACAAAATTATTTGTTCAAATTTTTTAAATTAAAAAAATTATTTTTAAAAATTATATTTTCTGTCAATTGATTCATGCTATGTCTCCAAATTTATGCAAATGTGCAAAATTTCAGATAGATTAGAGAGGTAGAAGTGTGTTAAATATCGATCATAAAATTTGTAGCAGACAGACAACAAGAAGTGAAGTTAAGAGAAGTGTTGTATGGATAGTTGTTACTAGTTGTATGTATACGAAAGGTATTGTAGATACATGCCCGAACTGCCCCGATCTACTTCGAGTACTGAACAACTTAAGAACTTACAAAATTCTTTGATCAATTTAAAACTTTTTGACTATTGGGCTTTCTATTCGTTGCACATGAAATCACTCAATCTGCTAGATAGCTCTTTCCTGAAGAAACGAAATATTTCAATTTCAGATATTTCACGAACATAAATTGTACTAAATTAAATAACTCTGTGTCAGACTTGCACCATGATTTGGGTTCTGCAGTCCTAAAGCAAGTAATAGTCGAAATTATGAATCTCAGAAAATTTAGTTGCAGTTAGAGTGTCGAATAGTGACAGACTTTTGCTCTCAGCCGATATGTGTGAGCCTGAGCTGTTTTAATTATACGGGTGATGAAACAATTGCTGCCCGATTAGCAGAGACCGCATTTAGTTCAAAGTCATTTTCAATAAGGAACCTGACAATAGGCGGGATTAGAAGAAAATTCTCACTGATTTTTCTGAAAAGTGCGCCTGTTCAACCTCCATTAGCATTTCAGCATACAATCAGCATGATCAGAACTGTCACCCCCCCAACTAAAATGTCTATTACTCGTGCGAAGATATGACCATCGCTTGAAATTTCCGTTATTCCATACATACAGAAGCGCGTACTTATTGCTCCTAATGACTCAAATAGCAAAATATGGAAGCTTTAGAATTTATTGTACATAAAATGTTTAAAGAATATTTGACGTTTTTCGAATTTATGAGGTGCACAGGCAACAGATACTAGAGATCTTAATTTAGTTTCGCAACCACATGCATATGAAAGCATTTTCACGTCATGATAATTTAAAATGGCTTGAACCAGCAAAATAATCGTGGATAAATTCATGTAGTGAAATCATATCATAAATGACTCAGGTGACAGCCGCTTTTGACGCTCGAGTCCTTCCAAATGCAACCCAAGCTATATTGAAGCTGCAAGCCCTATCTCTGGAAGCCACAAACGACAATCTACTTCTAAGCCGATCACAAGTCTTTAACTTCTAAAAAGCGTGCAAACCACATGACTTGCAGAGGAAAAACGGTTTCAGCAACTACCGGATACGATGTCGAGTGCTCTATATTCGTGTTTGACGGTCAATTGGCAATATACAATTGCTATGATTCAAATTCGCCCGATATCAAATACAGGATAGGGGTCATAAGTTTCCGCTATGGTTTTAGTTCCTAATCGATCATTGAATAGGAAGTTTTTTGTTCAGTCAAATGATTTAGTTTCAGCCTAAACGCGCAATTCTGAATGCTGTGAAAGCTTGGCTCATTTCTGCCAAAATACTGCGGATTTTACGCTTAGTTTGGCATATCAGAGTGATCGAATGCTGAAAATCTTAACAGCCACTTAATAACTTATAATAACAACGATGAATGTATTGTGACACAAGCTCATGTCATTATTCGCTGACCCTTTGAAGTTTCAACCTTTGCATCAGTATAGAACACTAAATTCGACATTATATCCAAAAAATTTCTTAACCTTTCCTCTGCAAGGGCATGGTGGCAACTACGTTCTATATATTTATGCAGATAACCATACTCGAACATAATATGGAACTCTCCTAAAAGCCACAAGTTCGCCATTATAGACATTGTCCCGACTGGGCACTCCAGGCCACGTGAATCGTGCAAAAGAATTACCGGCAGCAGCCGTTGAGCCGATCACATCCATAGCGTGAAGAAGGTTTTTCTTTGGGGTCACCGCTGGCGATGGCCGAGCCCCTGCAGCTGATTGACGCATAAAAAATCTTAATCATAATGAAAAAAATAGGAATGATAATATTAGGGATTCAATCCGAATTTTAGTTGCTTTCGCCGACCGTGATGCCCTAGCTCTGCTATTTAAGCCTCCAGAATTTAAATTCTTGTAAAACAGATATATTATTTTGCTCGTCGAATTAATAGTTGCTTTACAAATATGCACTTAGAATACACAGGATTTGCAGCAGATTTACCTACATGTTCTTTCATAGAATTGGTTATACTCGTTTTTTACGTCTAAGATGTCGATTACTTTTCAATTTCAAAACTTGAAAAATTTTACGCTTAAAGCATTGCATTATGTCAACTATTTCTCAACTGAAGAATGCAAAATCATGAATGGAATACAATTATGCGACGGATTCTCGTTTTAATAACTAAAGATATTAAGAATAAGAACCATCTCCATAGTGTTCTTAAGACTGTACGATTCCCATCTGTCACAAACTAATTTTGAAATGAGAAATCTGCAGCTCTGTCAGAAGCATTCTACTAATGTTATCTTAGGAAAAACTGAAGGGAACACTGATGCAGAAAAATTTTAGCAAGAACCCTTACGTAATATCTGAAATTCATTCAGGCATTAAAAACTTGTAAAAATCATGCAAATGGAAGCGGTGCTCTAATAACTGCCTGACGAAAAAACTCACAAAAAGAGTGAGAAAATGTGATGAACGAGTGCATAGACGGCAACGATTCATCACACTAATAGTAATTTCATACACCGCCAATACAAACGTAAAGAAGCAAATGAATTGAGATCTTGAGTTGAAATTCAACATGGCTCTGAAAAGTTACTATTCAACTGCATTAAATTTGAAGCTGACTTCTGTAGTTACTTGATCGTAAACTATAACACAATTGCTCAGTCTCTTTTGAAAATTTGAAAGTCTCACAATTGCTCTTTCTGTTTCACCTAATTAGCATTAGTGTAACGCGAAGTTACCCATCTAATAATTAAACGAACTTTTACGCCTGCCTCCAAAAGTGCCACAAAATTTCATCAAATGAATAACACCACAGACACCGAGTCTTACGTCTCCCCCAGATGCTGCTGGAGAGCATATCTACGTCGTAGGGACTGGAGGCCGTCGAGGACAGGCTCAGGAGTGATGCCTTGCGGAAGGAATTGAGCCTCACGAACAAAGACTTGGGTCTTGTCCTAGGACTGAGCCCGGTGGGGCTTGGCAAGGGCGCTTGACGGTAGTGTGCAGCATAGGTCGAGGTGCCTGTGGGAGAGCTCCCAGTGCAACAAGTGGCGGCTCTAATTATACTTGAGTCCGACACCGGACTTGGAGTTTTTACTTAAGAATGCACCAGAATATTATTGATTTGAGATACGCTGCAAATGGTGTCGCATCGTGTTGCATGTCCATATATTTAATTAACTTCGATAGAGGTAAAGAAGTGTAGAGATGAATAGTCTCTCAAAAATAAAATAAATAACGGTGAATTTTTTCAACGATGCATAGATGAAACAAAGTAGAATTTGGAGTTTTCTGGTAGGCGTGATAAGAAGTCGCTTAATTTTAAGCCGTCTTAGTATGGCGTTCATAATCCTAAGGAAATATTCCGCAATGTTGTAGCCCGTTTCTTTAAGTAATAAGCATTTTCTAACGATTCATCTCCGTCGGCATGCGTTCTAATGGATTACCCTCGTCGATCATAGCTCGCTCCCGACTATGAACCATCCTTCAAGCCTATAAACTTTATACCTAGAAATTATTTATGAATTACAGCCCATGTAACTGATGCATTGGTATTGCAATAAAGCCAATCTACTAGAGTTTATAATAAATTATTTTAATATCAAAAACAATATCACAAGAACATGAAATCAAATTTGCTCATTTCTAATGCATTCAATACATTTGGTTTGGCTCACATTTTCAGAAATTTTGTAATCGAGCGAAGCTGCATTAAGTGCCTCTACCGTCGTGAGTACTCAATATTGTGACTTCTAGAAATAATAGCGTTTATAAAAACACATGCTTAATAAAAATTTAAAAAATAGCATAAAACGTACATCTATTTATGAACTTTTAATTCTATCAAACATATTCATCATGAATTCAAGTGAACTTCAAGCACCAGATTGCTGAACTTAGGCTTTTATAATAAACCGCGATTTTCGTTCTCGTAACTCATATTTAATCAGCGGTGATTTTTTTATAAATGAAGTATGAAGCAGGATCTGCAACGGTTCCTTTTAATCAGGTATGTAATGCTAAATAAGCTCTCTCTACAGCCGACTTTTCGCCAAATCCTTGTCAAATCTTTTAAAAAGTACAAATTTTATATCGTAATTAAATAGATACCAATAATATTTCAGGTAATATTTAAAGTTTTTTGTTTCTTTGTAATGTGAACTAAGCGAATATGAATGAACCAGCATCGTCTTGCGATGTTGCAAAACTGCAGCAGCATCGTCATGCGGAGATGGAAAATGCAAAACCAGCCAGCACAGGTATAAGCATCAAAATGCAGGTGATCCAAAAGAACGATTTCTATTTGTGTTATCACTTATTATTAACATTCAAGAGTTACCTAATAAATGACAAATTTTTAAGATGCATTTAAAGCAGGGACAATTCGTTTTTTATGTTTAACGAGCACGAAAAAAAGTGAAACTAAGCAGTTTTTTGTAAGGGAGAGCATGTCAGTCATGAAAAAAACTTTTTTATTTACGGCCAGATCATAACAAAACTTGGGAAAAATATTTAAAAATAGACATCAATGACTTTTTTATTGGCATAAATTTTTCGAAAAATCAAAGAAAACGCGAAATTCATAGAAAACGGCAAAAAATAAGGTACTGTAAAAATGTATCTCCTCCTAGGATTTTCAAGCTTGAACATCGCGAGACATATCAGTCAATGCGTGAAGACCACATAATATTATCTTGTCATTTTTCGAATTTGTAGGTATAAATTTTTCTGATTTTTTTCGAATTTGACCCCTCCCCTCCATTTCTCCAATATATAATCAAAACAACAAAGAAATCGCACGCAAGGACCGGAAATAATCTCTAGAGATTTTTTCACGAATCGAATGGTATATCTTTCAATGCTTCAGCTTGAAAATCATAGGAGGACATAGATTTTTAAGATGGCGTTTTTGAAAATTTTAATTGTTCATGGGAGCTAAATAAGGAAATTTTAATTAAAAACGAAAAATATGCCAAAAAATTGCTTGATATTGTAGCCCAAACTATTTTATTGCCAATTTGTTACATTTAGGGTACCAGCAGGCGTCTTTAGACTTATTCTTGTCCAGTTTAGCGTGATTAATAAGCTATTAATGTGACTTTTTATATTTATATATTTAAAAATGTTCATTTTATATAAGTTCAGGGCGGCCTAACGCAAAAAACATTGCATGTACATCCGTTGTATGGTATTTGCTTTCTTGATCGCGCATTGTTTGTAGCTTTCAAATGAGTGCTTACACTTTTCAATAAACGAGAATAATGATATATAAATACTGATTTAATTTAGAGAAATCTTGGTACATTTGTTGAAAATGTTCATTTGTATATTTTTTATTAATTACTTTACGCAAAAACTAGAGCACGCACATATGTACATGCGGTTTGCTGCGTTAGACGCGCCTTCTTTGCAGCTACAATATGAGCTAAGAAAACGGAAAAGTCAAACTCATCGAATTTTTGCCGACACTAACCCATCAAACTAGAATTTATACTTAAATAATTCGTTCAATCAGGATATTACCAACAAATTTATTGTTGTTTGATACATAATTAAGATACGTAATTCACTTCTTTCCCCATCACTGCTGCATGACAGCGAAAGATTCTCGCGAAGAAAATATTCGACTGTAGGCTATTAATCATTTCTTGACGTAATCTCAGGAATTTTGCACTTCCACATTCTAAAGGAACAAAAATGAATGATATCGTCATTTCATCACTTTAGAATGTGTGAAGTCCAAATCAAAACTGGTAAGATGAAGCATCAACATTGCGAAGAAATCGATATATTAGGGACTCGCCTCGTCATTTACAAATGTTCATTGGGCCTATCAGCATTAAATTGAAAATGACGCGTATGTCCAATGCGTAAAGGCATTCCATGTGTAAAAATCAAGTATCAATAATGCAAGCAAGATCCAAACGAGCTGCAATCTTTGCTTTCACTAAATTGCATCGTCCTACCTTCTGGTCTCCCGCAAGTTGAGTGAAGGAATTAATGTGTATTGGTCAGTAATAAAGATTCAAGACTGGTGCTGTTTAAACGATATAAACATCTTTCCTGCTTTAAAATTACGAATTTTAATTAATTCTTTTTTTAAATCGTAGCAACACGCTATTCTTTAGAAATAAATGCATGGGCAGTAGGGGAAAGTACATTTAGGGGACCACCACAAACCGTTGCTCAATACTGTTTTTTAATATACAACATAATTAGCGCGTCCCACTGTGTCCCACTTTCCCCTACCGAATTCTAACGAATGAATCCTCTCTTTTCTAATTCTCAAAACTGGATTCCATTAATTTATTCCTCATAACTGAAATAATGGGATTTTTCTTTAATTATAAAAAATTCATTGCTCATTTTTGTTCTTTTTCGTTCCGTCCTAAAAAAATGACGGACATTTTTACCGAAAAATATTATTGATTTCAAAACAGTCGCCTAATGTCTCAAGCCCTTAAGCTAATTTATAAAATTAGGTTTATTAAAATATTAAAGGTTAATACTAATAATATTACTAGGAGATTATTAAAATTAGGTTTATTAGGTTATTAGGCTTAATTATAATTATAAATATGCACTAACCGTATTTGCTCTTCTCTATTTCATCAGCAAAGAATTTCTCGATCTTGTCGGCAAACTGCTTCTTGATGCAGAACGCAACGCCGATGACGGCCAGCACCACGGCCACCGTCATCAGGCCAAGCCAAAAAGGCTCCTCGATCATGCGCTCACTCAGCGGCTTGTAGGGGATGCGGGCCATATGATTCCAACGTTTCATCAAAATACGAGAATTTTAGACATCAACTCACACACTGAGAAATGCAAAAGAAAATTTATTGTTGAAACTTTGTCTCTATATGACGTTTCTTTTAACCTGAAAAGGTGCTAACAAAATAACACTGAACGATCGTAACTGACCCTCCCACCAGGCATGGCAGGTGCATTTGAAGTCGACATCCCTGACAACACTGCAAACGCCGTGGCCCTTGCAAGGGTCATCTTCACACGGAGAGACGCGCATGTCACACCTCACCCCCAGCCAGCCAGCGTCGCACTGACACAAGTAGTCTGCTTGGCCCGAGCGCGTCGGCTTAGTAGGCAACCGGCAGCTGCCGTGTACGCAAGGGTTGCGCATGCAACCTGACACCTGGAAAAAATAACGCAAAGTTGCAATAAGCAAAAAACAACGGATTGAGTTTGAAGATAACGCTGCTGGCGATTATGTTATTTGAGCTACTCCACGTATTTCTTGTTGAGAGAAAAAAAATTTTCTTATGTTTAGTTAAATAAAAAAATAAAATGCATCGGTTGAGAGCTTTACTACTCATTGCGAGTTTCTGGCTTCGCTTCTATATTCGTTTTCATATGTATGTTAGTGAATATTTCAAAGTAAATTATATAATTAATAAGAACAATAAAGAAAGATTACCTTTAGATATTTTTCGTTACTGGGGTATAAGACCTTATTCCAGTACAATAGTAATCAAACTTAAATCATAATTTGAAAACAAGAAAAATTACAGGGGCAAAATAAAAACCATATATAAGACGCCCAAAAAAATTGAAATGTCTCATCGACAAAAATGCACATTTTCTTTAGCTTTCGATTATTCAAATTGCATCCTTCAAAAATGACCAAATATTACCGATTACTCTAGCATTCAAGTAAATTTTAATATGATTAGATGATCAAGTTATCAATGCCTACTTGAACCGCATAACGTCATTAGAGAAACTTGCCTTGAAATTCTAACCGGTTGTCTGTATAAGTACTTGCAATAAATGGTTGTATATAGACATTATTATACCTGCTAACGGGTCAACTTTAACCAAACATGATTATCGAGTAAATAATGGCCTATATGCTGCACAAAAATGCGTTAGTGACATGTTCTCAGTAAATCCCACGTGACAAAAGATGCCCGAGTATCCTGGCCTGCAGAGGCACGCAGAACGCGAGGCGACGCTCGCACAGACGCCGCCGTTGAGGCACGGCGACGGAGAACAAGAGGCCACCGCCAGAGCAGCGGTAGAGGCAGGCGTCTCCAGAGATCGTTGCAACCAAAGCGGGTCTGTTATATTACATGCTAGATTAATATTTGTCTCTTATACANATGCTTAAATTAAGATTTCTTCTTCACAAAGATTTTTAAAACGTTCATGTAACTCATTGGAATAATATCATATTGCTTGACCAGCATGCGAAACTGTAATTATCAGCTGACCTCAAACTATTTTACTTTAAGTTGCCATAAGATGAGAGCTAAACTTTGTTATCATGGTTGCGTTCGAGCGAATAAAGTAATTTCTAATAATATGTAACGTAATATAATAATCATAAAATTTTGAGATAAAATTTTGTATTATTCTCATTTCTGTTTCATGAATTCAGTTTCAAGGTATGCTAAGTAGCTTTACACAATTTGCGCTTGCTTAAAAAATTTACTAACATTGTTTGCTTATTTGAGTTATCAATGTTTTTAGTAGCTTATTTTATTAGTTAGTAATTTACAAGTTCATTTTACATGTTGGCTTGCATATTGAATGCACTTAACTTACACTATTATTGCACTATAAATACTATAACTTACCTAATTCAACTTCAAATGTTATTTCATAATCATCAATGGAGGCAGAGGAGCGTGCTTCTGGGACGCCAAAATCATTCAGTGTAGTTGATCTTATTCTTCGTCTCGCTGCTCCATCACGTGCTGCTTTATTTCTAATTCTTAATGCATTTTTTTCTGCATCGTCCATCAATTGTATTTTAGATTGCGCTATGTGCAGAGCGTCAATTCCACCCGACTCACGTCCGATTCTTTGTCGAATTTTAAATTTAGTTTTTGCTCTGCCCAGTGCTTCTTTACTGCGAGCACCTACTCCCACTTCGGAAGTTATCATTTTTGCTGCTCCTCGAAAACTCTGGAGCAGCGGAGAACTAAAATTGGTACTCCGTCTATCCGTATATTTTGTCCAATTTGTGTTCGTTTTGTGTCCAACAGAGCGCCGATTCATTCGGCTCAAAACGAAGCTTCCTTTTTGTATTTCCGATGACGCCCTCCGGAGATTTTTCCTTCTGTTATCTTTTGGTTTTGAAGATAGAATCGATGCCCTCTTGCTAATTGATTTTTGTCCATCAATAGAAATTGAATCTGCTGTCATTTCTGTTTCATTTATCGCTTCCGAGACTCTAGAGATCCCATTGTCGTTACTAATATCATTCATGCTACCATTACTCACACTAACTCCTAAACTTTCTCTACCTATATGCTCATTGGTACTGATAGCCGGGTGACTAGATTTTAAATGTTCCCTTAGGTTGAACGGTTCTTCAGTTTCGACATGAGATTCAGGTTGTCGCACTTCTCTAATAAAAATAGAGTTTAGTTTGGAGCGAATAGAAAGGAGTTTTCGGGAGTTTTTTGTAACTGAGCAGATCCTCCACAAACCTCCCGCGTAAAAATCTTCGATCTCGATGTAATCCTGCGGAAAAAGTTTGTACATGACTAAATCGCACTAGTTAATTTGTAATATTGAACAGTCATGACTGCTTACCGTTAAGAACTTTCTTATTACTTACGTGTAAGCTTATGACAACCACCACTAATCATTCCTGGTATTATCCAGCAATTGCAGTACGAATCGAAATCTCTAACGGAAACCATCAGTTTTCAAGCTATAAGCGCTGGCAGTGACAAATTAAAATAACTATTTTACTTTTTGATCGCCATTTACAAATATTTTTGCAAGGTTAATTGATCGTGCAATTATGGTGAACCTGCAATTTTCAGTGTTGGCTGACGAAATAAGCTTCAAGATTTGAAATGTTGGTGAAATGTAGATAATTAAAGTGATTTTTTTTAAATTACGTTACCCACAATTTTGGTCTAGTAATTTTCCATCAATCGCATTAACTGAATATTAATTACATCTTGATTACAAATGATTTTATCTTATAATATAATTATAATGAATACAATGAGACGCCAGATTGACACCGGACATTGCAGTGATTCTTGTCAATACATTTAACATACCACAAACTCTCGCAATACCTGTTTTAGATAAACCATTTTCATGTAACTCACTCCATTGCATGATCTGCCGGCTTCTGCGACCGTCTCCACATTGGAGATCCACAAATGGATTGTATGACCTGGTGGAGCCACCAAATGCCGTGTGAATTCCACACCATGAGGAGGAGCTAAGGGGAAATTCAGTCCGTTAAGAGTGTTGGCAAGAAGTTCAGGAGAGTGAGAAGTGGTCCCCGACAGTCCATCAGAAGGCTTGTATAAACGAAAAAAGTTATCACTTTGGATATTACGGTTTAAAATAAAATCCTGACGATTGATGGAGTGATAAGAACGTCGAATTTTCTTTACAACATCTTCGTTTTCAGAATTATCCAATGGAGAATATAGACCTGAAGAGCTTGCAGGACTCTCGAGAGAATCCTTTTTCTTACGATGGGAAATTTTCTGATCAAACAGCGGTTGAGGATCAAAGCTGAACTTCTCACGTTGAATTGAGCTATCACCGTCACTGGCTGCGTGATTAAAGGCATCTTTGGGTGAGCTGAAATGTACTTCTTGGGTGTAGTTAATGTTGAATGAAGATGAATTCAGTCGAACTGGACTAGAAGTTATGTGTTGACGTGAGTGTTTCGTAAAATTTCTTGGGATCGATTTAAATTTTCTTTTGTACCTAGACGGTTCTGGATGAATTCCCACAGAAAGTTTGGGCACATTAGAATTAATTGCACGTTGACTTTCATCAAAATTAAACCTAGCGAGCAGTGGTGAACGTTTTTGGCCTTCTCGGCGCTTTTGTTTGTTCAATCGAAATTTGGAAAAATATTCATCGTGAATTATTTCGTTAGGGCGTGGTTTTGATCTTCCGATCGTCGCGTTCTCTCTCAGAAATTTTTCTGCGCTAGAGAAGCCATCGTCGTCAGCCACGACACCACTGGACGCATCTAGATTAGAAATTTTTTTGCTGGTACTTAAATTTAAATCAAATTTAAGGGCTTCAACGCTAATTGGCTTAAATATATCAGTCGAAGTATTAACATCAAAACTATTTTCGCTACTTATGGCCGAGTGTGATGACGGCGATGATAACGGCTGTGATGGAACAAGTAATGATTTTAAAGGCGGTGGGGTAGAAGGCAAGAGTAAAGTTAAGGCACTGCTGGTTTCACTTACAAATGAAGATAATCGAGACAAATTTCTCTCGATTTTGTGTGAAAAACCATCTTTAGGAAATTCATGTTTTCCAAGATTCATAGCTTTAGAACTATTACGAAGACTTCGAGCTTCGTATTTCGAGACCACTCCCAATGAACCCACAGCAGATCTGACAACTTTTCTTATATGTTCCTTGCTTGCATCCTCCAAAGGATAGTATGCATTATCATCCAGTTTATAGTTCAATATATCGCGGTACACAACGTTCCTCGGTTCTAACTCCAACTTATTTGGTTTCTCCATTCCATTAACTTCGGCAATTTCGACATTTGCAGCTGCATCTTCATAATCATATTCATAATGCATCTTAAGAAATTTCAAGTCACTGTTTTCATACTCATCATGAATTAAATCTATTTCCGACTCTTTTTCGTGGTATAAATTACGTTGGTCACTGTCATCTTGGCCGACTGCGGGGCTCGTGGTGCTGGTGTCGACGGAGCGCTGCAGCGGCGCGACGTGGATGATGGAAGTGCTTCTTACCATCTTCTCAGGCACTGAGAATAAAACTCAT